TGAGAGAGAGAGGGAGACAGAGAGACAGAGACAGAGCTAGTGAGGGAGAGGCAGAGAGAGAAGGAGACACAGAATCCGCAGCAGGCCCCAGGTTCTGAGCTGTCATCACAGATCCTGACCAGGGCTCCAACCTATGAACTGTGAGATCATGACTTGAGCTGACTGAACCAATCAGGCACCCCTTAATACTTCTATTAATGTTCCCCTTATAGATTCTGATTGCAGTTTTGACCACCATTACCTTGAAAACAATTGTGAAACAGCATCCTTTGAACCTAAGAAAGGGACACTAATGTGCTTCCAGCAATGGCTGGTACATTCAGGTGACATTATCTGACTGTATACAGCAGCACCATCTAAAAGAAATTTTGCTAATGATCAAATATTCTGTCTCTGTAATGCCCAATCTGGTAGTCACTAGCCTATGGTGCACTTGACATAGGACTGGTGACACTGAGAAATAAACTTTTAACTTTAATTGTAATGACTTTAAGTTAACTAACCACAGGTGATTAGTGCCTATCATATTTGATAGTGTATGCAACTTTTATCTGCCTTGTCCCCAAGTTTTTCCAACATCATTTTCCATCCAAAGGTCCTGGAACTTTCATCACCAGCAACAATTAGTAGTCAGTCACGTATCTCCACAGTCTTGATGTTCTTAGCACCTGGAATTGTGCCCTCTAGTAGGTGGTTTTTCAGTAAGTGATCATGTTGGAACTAGAAAGTTCTTTTCAAGTCTTTTAAGAAAAAAGCTGCCTCCCACACTTGAAAAAGATCTTTGGCTAGCATATGTCTGGGGCAACACATTGCCCTTGGACCCCCTCCTGCATCTGGACTCCTCTCCACTTCTGTTCTAACAACATTCACCAGTAGTAACAGCTGTATTTGTTGAATAGCTGCTATGTTACAAGGAAGGTAACACCCTCTGTTAATAAATTTTCTAATTTCCATGACAACCTTGTAAATTAGATATTATACCTCCAGTTTGGGGAGAGAAAACCAGAGATTTAAATAACTTAAATTCCAACAATGGGTAAGTGACAAAATCAGGGCTCTGATGTACTGCACATTCTAATTCTTTCATCCGAAACTGAGTTAGAGAATCTTACTTTCACCACTGACTAGCTGTGTGGCCTTGGGAAGTCACCTATTCTCCCTGACCTTCAGTTTCCACATCTGTAAAATGAGTTATTGATAATGGAAGCCTCCAGCCAGATGGGGAGTAAGCCTGAGGCTTACTAAGAGCCCTCTTGGTACACTGGGGCACGGGTCATGCTTCTTGGGCTATCTTCAATTCCTTCCTTATTCCTCCTGGTCTGTGAACTTATTTTTGTCCTTGATTTTATTTTCACAATTGCTTATTGTTATTATTGGTAAAAATGCTCAGCTGAATTGCATTTTACCCAGTAGACATTTAGTGAGTCTCTGCTATGGTCAGGAGCCATGCAGGGTGTCGAACACAATCAGTGCTGAATTCAAATTATAGAAACCCGAGTATATCCTTTTTCTAGCTAAAATTTGTTGAGAATTTACCATGGTTCAGCCATTCTGACTGCTTTACATGCATAACTCATTCAGTCCTCAGAATAACACTTTGAAGGGGTGACTATTAGGATTCCTCATCCCACAGTTGAAGAAACTGAGGCACAGAGAGGCTGGGCTACTTGCTAAATATGACACAACTTATAAATGATGGAGCTGGGACTCAAATCCAGCCATGGTGGCCGCACAGCCCACACTCCTTACCCTGAGGCTCTGAAGTCCCCCACCTTTGCATTTGCAGGTTAACATGAGAAAGTCACACTGGAGGCAGGGCACAGAGAAATATCTATAACAGGTGCTCAAAAAACTCCTGAACACTGTCTGCAAACAAAACATGCTGTAGGTGGATGAGGATACAAAGATGTGTAAAAGCTATGCTCCACTCTCAAGAAAGTAGATTATAAATCTAGCAAACAGCATGATTAAAAACACATGATTACTTGTAAAACAGGGAAGATGTGATAAGTGGTAAATTGCCAATAGAAAGTCCTATGAACTTCAAAGAGAGATCAGTTCTGGTTTGGTTACTCAGAAACAATTGTGATGGGGGCAGCATGTCACCTGTGCCTTAACAGAAGGGTCAGATCCCAGTAGATGGAAAAGAAACAAAGGTGAGAACATTCCTGGTAGATAAAAAGACAGGAGACATAGATTGGAGATGATACAGGATGAGGCATTTCTCTGACAGTCAGCAGGAACTCCTCTTCCTGAGACCTTCAGCATCCACAAGAACCATTGAATTTGACAAAAGAGTGGGTTGTAAAGAGATAGGTGAAGGCCATGGGCAGAACTGTGAGGACTGGTGAACCTCCTGGGGCAGGAAAGGCAAAGGAGCCACTCTTCTGGCAAGCAGAGGAGAGAAGAAGCAGGAGCGCAGGTTTCTTAGAAGTCGTGGGAGGGGGAGACTTGAAAACAGCCAGGGCTCAAGAGTGCAAACAACATAGAGACATCAAGAAAAAATGAAGAGGGAAAATAAGTTTTTGGCTTCAGTATTTAGAAGATAATGGGTATTCTTAAAGAGAGCTGTTCCAATGAAACAGTGAAATGGGCCTGGGCTAGTAAGTCCTCAGTGAGGGTGGCAGGGCCAGGGGTCAGCCAAGGAGAGGGAACTGAGTGTGTCATCCCCATGGAGACATAGGCAGTGGTCCATCCCTTTGCACAGGGGTTACAGAGAGGAAGGACAGAAGTTTAAAACATGCATAAAAGCCTCAAAGTGATGGCTCAAGGAGACCTGAATAGGACTCCCCACTAGAGATGGCCATGGTGAATGAATCAGCTAGAACTCATCCAAGAAGTGAGCCAGCATGCTGAGCGGCAGGGCCCTATCCTTGCATGCCCCTCAACTCTGGCGAGGGCTGGCAGACTTGAAAATCTTAGTGAAGTTTGAGCAAAGGGTGTAACTGGTCCTGTCTCTTCTCTAGCCTCATGCATCCAGATGGTTGCTCCCACTTCCTGAGATCTTTCAGCTGGGACCTGGTGGTTGGGAAAGTCCAAAGGGACCTGCCCAGATGTGAAGGCCCCACTCCCAGGGCAAGCTGTCCCTGAGGCAGCCCTACTCCAGCTCAGGCAGGGGGCAGGCCATGGGGGTAAGTCCAGACACCTGGCTCAGCCCAGGCAGCTGGTGGGATATCAGGCCAGCACCTGCCTGCTCTCACTGGGAGACAACCCAACTCTTCAAATCTGCTGGTCTTTTCTTCTTCTTCCCAGAGGAGTAGAGGCGCCCATTCTGGGAAGCTTCAGACCTCAGTCTCCAAGCTGTGCTCCTCCCCCACCCAGCTCTCAGGAGGCACTGCTTGTCAAGCTCTCTTGAATGTCGGGCAGTGTAGGGAAGGACCCTCATCCCTTTCATGCTGGGAGTGTCATGTACCTTATGCCTCTCATGCTGGGAGTGTCCACGCCCCACCCCCTGGGTAACTATCCGTCAGTACAGTCTGGAGGTGGGAGTGGGCAGGTGCTTGTCTTCGCTAGTGAAGACGCTACACTGCACTTCTCTCTTACAAGGTCTGGGCTCTGCCCAACCAAAGAGGCAAGATACCCAGCTAAGCGACAGAATTTGCTTGGGACTCCCTGGGAGCCAAGTTTCCTGCCCTAGGCTTAAGGCAGTTAAGGCCCCCACACCCTTAACTCTTTTCCGTCCAAGTTTAGAGAGCTCCAACTTTGGGGCCTTTGTTTAGAGTTCAACAGCGCCGCCCCCTGGTGCTTTGTTGTGAGTGACCATAGCGGAGACGGCACAGGGTTAAAAAAAAAAAAAAAA